GACGTCTTCCTTATCAAAAACTCAAACATTGAGTTTTCACTTTTAACCAACCTTATAGTCCGACTTAACACCGGCATCTTTTGCAAATTCAACGACACTATCTCTTCCATCGGTACCCATTCTCAGCGAGTTACACCAGGCAGATTCCCCTACAGCTAATATATCAACAAAATATGTCATTATCATGTCATAGTAAATTTGAAGTTGTCAACACACCAATATTTTTTATCTGTAGCTCCTATTACCTTATTACCTTCTGTAATTAAATTTGACCTATTTGTTATGGGCGTCATTTGCACTATTTATATTATTTTGTATACAGTATGCTCAATTGCACTAATAAGTAATATAGATGTATTCAGTGCCAGTACCGGTGTGGTGAGGGTACCAAGTACTGACCCAGCAGTTAGGACCATTGTTTATTGTGATTATCTTTTGGTAGTTGGTATACTATTTTAGTATTTTTATCCGTAGATATTCACCAGCGCAATTGATGTATAATTTAAGATTTTCTGGTGTAATTGCGCGGCTTTTGTTTATACTAACATTATCCATTAGAATAATTTTCCCGACATCAGTTAAGTATTGTACTTGATGAGTAATAAGAACGCATGCTTTTTCTTTGAGATAATCTATTAAACAGAAATAAAATAATTGTAAGTATTACAATTTAAAAAAAATCAATACCTGCTTATACCTTTGATGCATTTATCAAACAAATGCCTGCCAACTGTAGTATCAACTGCCGACAAAGGATCGTCCAGTAAATATATATCTGCTTCTTTGTATATCGCTCTAAAATCGAACATATTGAAGGTATAATTTACAATTTATTTTCAAACTGTTACTCACCTAGCTACATTTATTCTTGCTCTCTGGCCTCCACTTAGGGTAACTCCTCTTTCTCCCACCAAAGTTCTGTCACCATGCGGAAACTGTTTAAAATCTGTTATTAATGCGCATACACTTATAACCTAAATCAAAACCGAATTGAAAAATATCGTGAATATTTTAGAAAATTTGTTTGGCATAAGGCTTCAATTACATAGGTTTTTAGCTTATATTAACTTAATATTTTTGTATAATATTATAATTTGAAATTTTTACTTGTTTGTAACGCTCTTTGTCCATCGGTGAACCAAAAAGTATATTTTGTTGAACAGTACCAGCAAATAGCCATGGTTCCTGTGATGCATAAGACACTTTACCACGCACGGATATTTTGCCTACGGAAAGAGGCAATTCACGTAAAACTGCTTGTAATAATGAACTCTGTAATTGTTTATTTTATGATTATTAGGGTAAATGCGAATAATTATTTTTATAGTTTTTTTTGTACTTTTCCGGCTCCTACTGGTCCGATAATTGCCACTAATTGTCCTGGTGTGATGTTTAAATTAATGTTCACTAAAGTATTACACGTTTGAACAGCCGTCCACTTTGCACTAGCGTTCGAAATAACTATACCAACACTATTTAAACATCCAGTTTTTTCTTTAATATTAATATTCTCCGTGTTAATGTCCGATTCTACAACGTTAATTGTTAATGGATCCACTGTAGATTTTGAAAGATTTGGGATTTTGCTATCTTTTTCTTCAAGCAACATAAAATTCTATACAACAATTTCATAAAAAAATTTAAAAAATGAAAATTATAATATTTCATCCTAAAAATGATATCTAGGTATATCAACATTAAAATATATATTCTAACCATGTAAGAATCCATATTTATTTATATACCTGTATGCGTTTCACAGTTATTTTCAGTTCAGCTAATTGCATTAAGCCTCGACCGAATAACTTCGTCATTGGTTGTTGCAATACAGAATAAAATGCAGTTACGACAAAAACCTAAATATATGTACCTATATTTTATTTATCTATTTTATAATATAGCTGTATAGTATTATAATATATATATTGTTATATATAGGTAAACTTTTGGTATTCAGGAAATTATTCATTATATTTTACTTTTCTGATTGATATATTGTTTCCAAGTAACATGAATGATAAAATACTGATGAACAGTTGAATTCTAGTTTGAACTACTTGAAACGCAAAATTTAAAACTCCCAGAAATGAAGTGCCTCGAGTGTGTTTAATTTCCTTTCTATAATAACATTAATTAATATAATAATTCATACATTCATAATTATAGCAACAAATGAAATAATAGTTAATATTGTTAAATAATATTACAAACTTTCTGGTTTGTTCTATAAGTTTTGCAAAAGGTTTTTCCCAAGTGTACATTTTGATTATTTGTATTCCTGAAATTATTTCATGCATTAACCGTATTCTCTCATCGGTAATTTTGGATGTCTTCGATCGATATTCAGACATTTTTTTCCCCAAAAAAACTGAAAATGAAACAAGCAGTTTGCTAATAAATATAATGACGTATGGTTTTTTTCACAATTTTCGTTGACGTACATTGTAATGGAATAAAAAATAAAAACGCAGATACTCCAATTAATGACGATACGCCAATTTCCTGCCACAAAAAATATGTGACCACAATTGTTTGTAGGGGACCAATCCATATAAAATGCATTGATGTCAGTGATATGTCGAATCGACTAACATCGTTCGATATCAAATTTATTACTTGACCGACAGTGGTCTGACCAAGAGATGTCTGACTTAAACACAATGCCTGTGTAAAATAAATATATTAGATAACAAATATTTTTTTATATTATGTTTTTGTTCTAAAAGTACAACCAATAAGCCAACGTTTATAGTATCATTTTCTACATTATCTACTAATTTCTAATATACAGTAATATTATGACGTTTGAACAATGTTTTTTATCAGTTGAATGTTTTAAGTTGGCATATATAAGGGTGCAATGTAAATTTTAAGCTTTGGTGGTTTGTGTACGGTTGCAAACTTTTAACTAAGAAGAAAATGTTCTTGAAAATAGTCCATAGATACAATAGGTACATGTACGACATTTTATCTCAGCCACAGATACAATTTACATTGTATGGCTCAATATAGTTGTATTGCATAATTTAAATATTAATAACCGTCTTTATTTTCTTTGTTTTACTAATGTCTGTTGCACTCTTCCAAACATTCAAAAAATCTATAGATAGTTACCAAAATCAATCGTATAAATAAAATCATGAAATTACTTAGTTTTGTCAACAGCATTAAACGTCCGTCAAAAAATGTCAATTGTCGATTTATTATATCATTATTGTCACACAGTTAAGTGAATAGGTACATGGTTTTTAGAAATTATATAATTACAGCTTGATGATAAATTTATCATAAAATATTAATATATATCTGTATTTTGTTAATTGTTGTTACACACCAAAACTATAAAGATAGTTATAGTATTAGGATAATTGATCGACAAATAAAAAATAATTTATGAACACACTTTACCGACTATTGTCGTCATTGAAGATTTTTAAAACTTTGAAAAATAAATATAAATTCAAATATTACATGCGGAGTGTTGTCGATGGGTCCCCTTCACGCCAATAGTCTCCCCCCAATTTTCTCATTGTATTACTATGTAATTACAGGTTGTAAATAAAAAAAATTGTTCAATAAAAAAAAAAATTCAAATATTGTTAATACTTATCAGTTATTACAATATGAGGTTCACCTTTCTAAATATGATAGAACAGCATGCAACTCGCATCTTCATCGCACATTGCAAGTTTCTTTCAATACTTGAATGTTGCAATATCATTGCAATTAACAAGGCAAATACTATGCCAGATGCATACATGTATGCATGTCTCAAATCAGTGATGTTGGAACCATCGGGGTTGAAATATGCTAATAACCCGCCAATTAATAGTGGCCCAGATACTCTATAAAACATAACAGTAGGCAATACATCATACATAAACGTTATACAAATACTGTATATAATATTTAACAACAAAAAGTGCAAAATTCATTAAAAGTATACGTTTACTAACATAAATATTATGCTGAGCCAGCAGGTTCGCAAAATATAATATGTAATAAGGACTTATACATTATAAACAATATCATAATAAGGGCCCCGTCAAGCACGATTGCCGGTCAAAACCTAATACTTGTATATTTCCAGACTCTAAACATAAAATGATGTAACAGAAACAGTGCTTACCTAACAATAATATCATTGATGGCAAATAAAAATCCAATGGATATATATTTATAGCCAAACATTTTAATCAAAACTCTCGGCAGACTAGGTGTACGATTCTCAGAGTATGCATTGGTCAATTCTAAATGCCATTCCCTAAAAATAAATCAAAAATTAATTTAATCTAATTATCATAATAATATGAAAATGACTTTGAGTTTATATTTATTTACTTTTCCAATTGATCGCCTAATGATGATGATATCTGATCATCCATTGTCGTATACAAATCGGTTTCATTTAAATCTCTGGTTCGTCCTGTTTTGAACAGGTTTAACATCCAACTAAACAAAAAATAATATTATTAGTTAATTTCATATTAACATGTGCCAATTGTGTTTATATTATTATTTATTGCAATTATAGAACACAATCCATATACTTACAAATAGGTCCAAAATCTATAATATATTTCAATTAGCCATTTAATATAGTAGTTAGTAGTAAGTATAATAACTATTTCAATATTTGAAAAATAATAAAAACAACAACTATGCTACTGCAAGATAAAAATATATTGATGAACGTATAAAATATTAAATGCAGTAATATTTTACTTGTATACATTTATATTTAAGTATAATTAATAGTTTCATTAATAATAATAATAATTTTAGTTTTATTAACGTAGTATTAAATATATATATTACATTTCACTAATTGCACATTGGTAAGTATTATAAAAAAGTTATATTTTTAGTTATATCAGACTGTATTATAATTATATTTAGTAATCGACTTAAAAAAAAAAATATTATATTTAAAATAACTTTTTATATAAATTAATAAATAAAGTATATTTTAAAGGGAGTATTAAGAGAATCCTTAAAAGTCTTACAATTTCAGAAGATCACATTTAGTTCAATTAGTTTAAAAATTAGAGTGAATTAACTTCTAATAAAATTGAAAGGTAAATTATTATCAAGGGCATCTCATGGGCTTTTTATTTTATTTTTATTTTAAAGCGAGTTATTTTAAAATTGTAAATTGTCTGTACATCTTAAAATACTCATAACTCGCTTCAAAGTTTAAAATAAAATAAAAAGCCCACGAGATGCCCTAGATAATAATCTCACCTTTCAATTTTATAAGAAGTCAAATCACTTTAATTTTTAAGCTAACGGAGCTAAACGTGACCAGCTGAGCGTAACATTTTGTATGGTATATCGGTATGCACTTGTAAGACGGAGGTAACACATGCAAATATAACGTCCTCTTAACAAAAAAAAATGAATTTTAATCCTTGATGTTTATTGCTTTTTTGATCGTTCAACAGTACATAAATAACACTTAATACACAGGGTAGTAATTCAACATTTATTTTACAGCCATTTTATCATACGAATATTCAAAATAGTGAAAAATATATAGCACAAAAGTTTTTTATTCAGAAACATCTATTATGATAATCTTATAATTGCTTACAATATTTTAGGGTGGGTTTTAGGGGGTCAACTTTAGAAATTCAAATAGAAAACTCTCCTTTTTTAAATAGCTCTCAGCATAGCGTTTTGCATTAATTAATGTTGTTCATGCATTAAAATGTATTTAAAAATGTCTTCACATTATGTTTGCAAAAAAGTATTGGTTCCCATTTGAATTTCTAAAGTTAACTCCGCAAAACCTTCTTAAAATATTGTAAGCAATTATAAAATTATGAAATCATATTAGATGTTTCTGAATCAAAAAACGTTTGTATTATATATTTTTCACTATTTTGAATATTTATATAATAAAATGGCTGTAACATCAATTTTGAATCACCCTGTATAAACATGTGGGTAGTTGTTATCAAGTGTTTCGAAAAATAATCAGCCTAGTGTTCAGAGACAGAAGTATGATATGCATTTTTGATGATAAACAATATGTGTTAATAAAAAATACGTTTACCTAAGGTTTTATTATCTTATTTTAATAATTACAATACTACAGACTACAGTAATACATACGTCCTACTATTTCTACATAACAGATTGCAAAACAATAATATTAAACTAAGGCGTTCACAAATTTGATGAATATCACACTATAGGTAATAATATAAAATAAGCTCTTACATACCTTCCACTGAAGTCCCAAAAGCTTTATATTTTGAAATAAACTCAATCTATTATACGTTTACAACACCCATACATCCCAAGTACCATAAAACACTTTGCTTTAATGCAACATATATGTATAATATTATGAGCTATGACAATATAAATATTAAATACTATGATCATGTATATATTTGTTGGGGGGTTGTTGTTTAAAATATTAACCACTCATTCACTCAAACAAAATATTATAATATCACAGACAAAACGAGCAGCATGATACCAGATGTAGACTAAAAATTGTAATGACCGTTTCAGCCAAAAAAATTTTGAAACCACTGATATTAATTTTGAGGAAATAATATATATTAGGTGTGTAATATGCTAAGTAATAGTAGTAATACTACATGTAACTGTGCTTTGGAAATAAGCCAGTGTTTTTCGGTGCAAACTATCATAGCCATAATATTTTTACATTGCACCTACGAAAAAAAAATTAATTATTAAAATTCCTCATTGTAGCTGTGGACTACAACAGTACTGCTTCTGATATAGAATCATAAAACTTATCAGTTATTTTCAATTAATAAATATGTGTTTTTTTTATTTTTATATATACATATATTAAAATATATTTTTTGTATCTATAGAACAAATTAATATTGCTTTGGTGTGATTGTTACTGGAGAGGGGTGTAGTTAATTTTGTGTGGAACGCTATTTCATCCTGCATTCGATTTCCAAATCAAAAACTGACAATAACAGTAAACAGTAAGTTGATAACCGTTGATAACGACAATAGGTATACCTAAATAACTTATACCTAAATATAGCTCCCTTTAGTAAAGTTTTTCTTATAAGAACTATAGTTTAGTTGTACATAATTATTTCATATATATTTTTAACAATACATTTTAAAACATTTTAGTATGATCGATAAGTGATTTTTAAATACCATAATATTGACTTAAATTTGTATGAAATGAAACAAAAGTTATCGGTGTACGAGAATAACCAGATACTCACTTGACTAAACTTATTTTTAAATGTATACTTTTTCTGTCAACTAACACTCTACACTTATACCCTACTGTGACATATTGATTTTTTTAAAGCCAATATTGATATTTATCAATATAAAATTTATTTTTATAATTATATGTTTTTAAATTAATGATTATGTAATGATTACAAAATGTTTTTATCGTTGTTTGCGAACACTTGAAATCGTTACATTTTTACGCTATTGCATGGTAATATAATATGCGTACGTGAGAATGACCGTCAGATTAACTTATTGTAATATATTGGTACAAAATAAATAGATGGACTTGAATATTTTACGTACGTGGTATTTAGAAGGTCCTATCATAAAATATTTACGGTTTTATAGTAAGTGAAAACCGTGCTTATTATTTACAATGTTATATAAAACTAATTGCTATTTAAATGGTTAAATGCACCTTAAAAAAATTAAATCAAATTAAATTAAATTCGTTTACCCATAAGTAATGATTTCAAAAATATTTGCATTAGATCTTGGATGAAGAGGTTGTTTCATTTCACAATTGTCATCTATTATAGACCTAAAACAATAATTAATAATAATGATAAACTACCTATTCTAATAAATATTTTGAATATTTTCTACAACTAACCTGTTCATGACGAAGACGCTCTATTAATATGCTATTATGAATAAAGAGTTACTTTAAATTCCGTTTTCTAAAAAAAAAAAATATATACATTTATATTTATTCACTCAGAGGTAATATTACATTATCAGTTGATGATAATAACATTTTTATTATAAGGACACCATGCTCACATGTATTATTACGTCATATTCAATTTAGTATCGCATAACATGGAAAATTGTGCGTTCAGAAGATTCTATTTTACTCTATTTCATCTGAATAATTTAGTTGTTCTCCTATTATGCAGGCTGAGAAAAATTCCAATACTTCAAGTACTACTAAAGCTTGTGACTTGTGAGTCATTATATTTAATCCTTATATTAACAAATTTGTAGTTTTAAAAAAAATTCAAACAGATCCTACCATATATTAATTATATTGCAGTGCTTCGAAGCAATAACAATTCGCTTAAAGTCAAAATAATTTATTACGGTTGAAATATAACAATATGCGCTTTATTAAACAGATTCATGAAAATAATTATTAGTTTTCAACAATTAACTCTAGTACTGACTTAATGTGAAAGTGCTCATCCAAATGTAGATTCTGAAATTGTTCTTATTTAAAGCCCTATTTATCTGTTCAAGGAAATTAATGACTTTTATGTCCCATACTCTCATTTGACTATGATAAATAGTATAAATATATACACATTATACAATTTTCTCAGAATAGGTACATTCTCTACGTATCGGGTGTCACCACAATAATTTAACCTTGCATTTCATATTATTGAACAATTTTTACAAAAATATTATGCAATAATATATAATTCCATACTATTATGAATATTATGTTATACGACAATCATTATTGACAATATTGACTATTGAGTTATTAAAGTTATTACCTATATAACATATTAATTCAGATTTCAGACTAAATATAATATATATACATTAGGTATATTATGTAGATATACCTACAGTTGTGTGAAATACAAAGTATGAAACAGCAGCAGCCAAATACGTACATAAACACAAAAATAATAAATTGTATTCATTTTTTTTTAAATTGTTTACAATCTATATTTTTTCAATCTATTCTTTATTAATAGTATTGACAGGAGGTTAGCAAGGGCAGGCACTCAGCAGTACCGCCCGATTAAGTAAATTGTATTCATAAAAATAAAATAGAAAAGTTAATCAAAATATTTCGAAACTCGGCCCAATAATTTTTATCGATAAAATATAATAAAGATGCTATAGACGACAACTACTTAACCTAATACATGAAATAAATAACTCATTGTAATTCTAGTTTTAATTCGACTAACCCATATAATATTTATTCCGCCATAACCAAATTAAGCAATGCAAACCGAAACAATTATTAAAACAAACAAAATTCTAAAACTCAAAATAATTGTCTTAATAATCACGATTCAATAGTTTAAAAATAAAGAAATATCAGTGAATGAATACGTCGAATACATAGCTTTCTACTTCAAAAGATTCAGTATACACATTTGAATGTATATGATAAAATTGTAGAGTAGGTACCGTTACAACGAATTTTCACACTTTTTATTTTTTTTAAATATGAAAATGAAACAAAATAATTTTTGTACGATCATGAGAATCT